ATACGAGTAATCCCTTAAGGATTTAGACTAGAATTTGTAGATTTTTACCGTAATGGTGAATGTAACTTTCGGTATATTCACATTTCGTAATAAATAGCGAATTTATTGGAGTTGAATAATCTGTCAATGTATTAATTGAGGCAACTTTTATACAAAAATTTCACCTAAAATATATCTCGTACAAATATTATTTGAACTGTTTGATGACGTTTTTTTTAATAATTTTAGGACATTAAATATGGGGAAAATTAATTAATAGATATAATACTGCGACTGCTAATAATTAAATAGGAAAACTGAATCAGTCTTTAAATGGAAGTTTAAGATGAAGATGTTTTCAATGAAACTATATTTTATTCATTCCAGAAAAATGTCTTGGTATAATCAGTGCAGCTGGAACAGCGCATGAAGTGTGCAACCACGTTAAAAACAGGTAGTAGGTCCTTTAAAGAACTGAAATAATAGATATATCTGTCTATCTTTGTAAATATCTATTATATCAGTTTTTTCTTTTGTTTCGATTCAACGACACTTTTGTTGTCTCAATTATGATATAATATTTAATAAAACAATGTTACCTATTTAATTTTAATTAATTTATATTTTTCTTGTCTTTAGTTTGCAAATAAAATAAACGTTATTTTTTTTATGCAACTTAAAATGGCACACGGGCTGACGGCCCACCTGGTGAAAGTGGTAACTGTCGCCTATAAACAAGAGCAGTACCATGGACATAATAGAGTATATACTGTTGCGCCCATAATGCCCCCTACGCGTTGCCATTCCTGAAGACCAGGTGTTATTCCTCTGTAAATATCAAATATCCAGATCATACCTAGTATTATTTAAAATAATTAATTTGTAAAACGAAACAGTATTCCATATTTCAGCTAAGCTATGTGAGAAAACCTTAAGCTCCTCAGCTAACAGTATTTTAAGTTTCGCCACGTAATAAAATTCGAAACCTATTCGCAAAAGAATGTAGTGACCGTTCATCGTTGACTATACTATATATATCTACAGATGGAATGGGTAGTCAGAGTCATTGATCGACCATTAGGGTGAACGTAGTAGGCTCCTATAGGTAGACAGGTACTGAATCTTAACACAAAAAAAGATGTGTAATTTAAACATCGAAATAAAAGTAAAAGTCCGAATAAATGCTGGTATCAATTTATAGTTAAGATTTTGGAACCTTTTCAAATTAAATTTTTATGTGAATTAATCACATAAAAGCAGGTCGGCTCTTTGTGTAACTTTATAGTAAATCTTAAACTTATTTATCCCAAATTCTACGTAAGGATACAAACTAATAAAACACACAAATAAAAATCCATTTTGCTTCGTAAAAGCTGGAAGTAAACTGTCCTAAACATAGTATCAGACGTGACCTGAAATGGTAGCCACATCTAAGTAAACAATACTATTATATAATAGGTAAAACCTTCAGTTTAAAAGTTTTATTATACTATATTTTTTTATACTACGTACCTGAACATCACAGAATATAAAATACTATTTAAGGGGCATCAAAAGCGAGAAAAGAAATTTAATCAATACTAATGTTATGTAATATATATATTTTTAATTTATTATATGATAATTAGTATACGATATATGAAAATTAATAAATAATTTATATACAATTATGAATAAATTTACCCCGGATAAAATCCGCAACTTCGTTCGCGTCACCGGAATTTGTTTACTGATCTGGATAAAAAGTAATTTATATCGTTCTCTACATACAAAATGCCTCAAAGTTTGAAGACGAAGGTCTTTCGTGTTGCCAATGATAACCTATGGAACAGCAATATGGTCCTACATGGTTTCCCAAATGCAATAACTTCAAGTTACTCAGCGAGCTGTAGGGAAGGTTATGCTCGGACTTTCTTTGCGTGAGAGAATTCGAAATAAGGATATCCGAAGAAAAACCGTTCAGACTCAGAATTGTTCTTTATGGCATTCCATGGAAGAGTCCTATGTTTAGTAGTGGACAGATAACGGCTGATATGATGATGATCCTTCTCAACATGAGCGTGGACACCTCCCCCCTGGAAATTGTGTGTCTTACAATATATTATGCGTTAATTTTTAAGAAAAAACCGCGCAGTAAGCGAGCACCACAACCGCCATAAATCTATCCATATAGGCAGACAAAGCGCTATAAGGCAACAAACAAACTCATTTTCAAATTTATAACATTAATAAGAATCCATATTTGTATTATAAATATGAAAGTGAGTTTGTTTATTACCCTTCAGCGTTTTAATAGCTTAACCTTTAATTTGATAGTTGAAATTTGGCATACATGTATTTTTTTAAATGAAAAGTGACATAGAGTTTTTTATCCGGATCAATCAATGCATAGCAGTCACACGGATGAAGAAGCAAGTATGTATATTTATATATATTTGCGTTTGAATATACCTAAAATTACCGAGTAGAACATTTCAAAATAATGTAGCATACATTATTTTGAATTTTCCTACTAATTAGTTGATACGCTTCTTTTACGGATCACTGGTCCGTGCCCGTTGCGACTGTGATTGTGATAATTTGGTACATATAATAATTATTTGTATATGTTACATAAAGGTAACCTCTACTGTTAGGGAAAAGAGATGGTTAATATTGGAACTACCAGCCCCATTGCTAACAATATTCTTTCAAGTCGACTCTCCCGCCATCCCTTCTGGAAACTATCTATTTATATAATTAATTCATCATATTTTATGATAAGATTGTTGTTAAGGCTTACAGAACGTATGGTTTTATGATGACATGTACCAATAACTTTAAGAAATCTACCACTTATACCTATCTATATAAAACTCTTATTCGATTTCAATTTAAATATGCTGTAACCACATGGTATCCTTTCTGTAAGTTTTATTGTGATAAAATTTAAATGGTACAAAAAAAATTACAATATAAATTTTCTCATAATCGTGTTTCATATGACCAACTATTGTATAAATATAATTTGCAAGACTTAAGGTCAAAACGCATACAATTAGAGATTCTGTATGATATTATCTAAGGATATTTAAAATAAATATGACTGTACTTCATTATCATACGTACACAAATGAGAAATTCACGAAGACAAGAATTGGTTGCAATTAACAGATACCGTACCGATTACGGGATTCGTTCACCCATAAATAGAATTTAAAAATATATAATTTTAAATTTTATAATATTGATATATTTGCCATTAAATCATTAACTTTTAAAAAACTGGTATCTAAACAATTAATAATCTCCTCCCTCCCTCCCGAATTTAGTAACGCATGTACATAATTATTAAATTATAATATAGCTATATAATAATAAGCATACGGCCTCATTGTAAAACCATCTAAAACACAATGCATTATTATCGATAGCCCTCAATATATATCTAAATTAAATTCAATGAATCTTCCACCTGTAGTGTTTAATGGTCACGTAATTTAATATAGTAACAGTATTAAAAATCTCGGAGTACATTTTAACCAAACGCTAGTCTAGTCTCATCAAATATCTCAGTTAAGCCGTAAAGTAATTGCATCAGTAGGTAGTCTCAATCGGCTGCCAAACTTTCTACCAGTCGGTACCAAAACTGCATTGGCACATTGTCTACAACTTTCTATTTGTACTTATCTACTATTTATACCAGATTGTCTTCAAGAGATCGCTTTTAATAATAAGACCGCCTTTTGTATATGCACATTCTGTATAAGTACTCTTTGTATACATCTCTATTATGCACAATCAAGATATATATATATATATATATATAGTATTAAAATTATAGAGTGGGACTCTAATACTTATTACATCTGCAATACTGTACATTAATGTATTTAAATATATACAAAGAATAAGGAATTATAAAAGTATAATTCCTTATCCTTTATATATATTTATTTATTTCTTATTGCATTCCATACCATAATTAGTAGATAACATTTCAACTTCAATTATAGACCCTGTTGGGCACATCAAGTAGGAGAAAAATTTATTTAATTACCATAATGATAATAAACAAATGCACAATAGGTCATAAATATTTATTTATTTATTACAAACGTATAGCACTTAAAATTAAGTAACAAGACTAATTACGTATCTATTGTTTATGAATATCAGTTTTCTGCCACGTCCAACCACAGTTTGAAATCAACTTTTAGCAGCAGTATATTTGAACGGATACGAGATCGTAACTTTCAAGAAAAAGCATATTACTTTTTAAAGGGATGGCAGTCTTACAAATTCGATGTTACAGGTACTCATGGACGGCGATAGTCACTTACCATAAGGTGCACAGTATGTTTGTTTGCCCCCTGTGTCATAAAAAAAAACTACAATTTTGATACGATATATCTGGTATATGAATTGCTGAATCTTATAAACTGCAACACGTCAGAGGGCTTATTATGAACGCTTAAAAGCAGGTAATTTTACATATATAACAGCTGCTCTACTTCAGAGCAGATAAAGAAAAATCTTTCTTCTATGTGCTCTGTAAATTGGTTCCAAAAATCTAAACGGGCCAGCTTGTAGTCACGTAACTCAAAGTAATTTTTAGAAAAATTAAAAATACTGATTAATAAAAATATTAATAATCAATTTTTAAAGCCCAAAGCTTTATATTGCGATGATTTAATTTTCTTACCTACTTTTGAGCAGCATAAAATCGTATGAATTTTGATAAATTTGCAATAAACCTTTAGAGGCATTAAGTGTGAAAATTCCTAATATTATTATAATTGGAGAAACTTGTATTCGTTAGATAAAGCAATTGAACGATCTGAGTTGTTAAAAATACTTAATTAAAAACTACTTATAACATACAAACCCCCAAATTTCACTTCCCATAGGTATAATAGAGAGAGATTAAATTAAAATTTAAAGTTACCCTATTTAAATAAGAAGAAAAAATACTGAATGGACCGAAAACTATAATAATTATGATAGGAATAATGATTAAATAGGTATAAAAAAGAAAAAAATAGATGACATACAAATGTATTGTACATGTAAAGTAAAGCTACAGCGCAAGAGAATACAATAATAAGAAATGTTTCTTATGCTTGTCCATAGAGTCTGTATAAACGGTCGATATTTTCAGGAGAAATAGGTCTTGGAGTAAGTTTATTCCGGTACTGAAACATAAATAAATCATCATAATAAAACTCTTTGCATGATCACAACAACATACATTCATCTTCATCATCATCATCATCACATCAGTGATTATTTGTCCATTATTAAATATAGGCCTCCTCTATAGACTGCTATAAAGAACGGTCCTGAGTCACCTGCTTCCACTAACTCCCTTTCAATGCTTTTGAGGTCGTAAATTCATCTAATTGGGGGTCGTCCTATTCTACGTTTGTCCGTACGGGGTTGCCACTCAAGAAGCTTTCTTACCCAACGATTGTCGCTTCATCGAGCTATGTGACCAACCCATTGCCACTTCAACTTGCTTATCCCTCGGGCTATATTACTCATATCGGTTCCATTGTGGTTATCCTCATTACAGATTCTGTCACGCGACATATATTTATATAACTCAAAATAATTCTGAGAAAGATCATCTATCAAATATTACTACAAAATTTACTTTGACTCCAAGAATCTCACTGAATGACTATTAAATAGAAAAACTAACAAAACCCAATCACCTGCATACTGCTGCTACAACGCAAAGAGAATATCAATTCGTATTATAAAATAAATAATAACAAAGCCAAAAGAATGTTCACTACAGCATAAATAACTAATAAATAATAAATATTGTTAAACGCAAATAAAAAAGAATATTAGGTAAGAAATATATATTTTTATTTTAAAAATATGTAATTATTCAGTTAACTTACAATTCTAACATGGTTTCTAAAAGGGTCTGGTGATTTAGGGTCGGCTTGACCAGCGCCTACAAACAGCGCGAGCACCGCCATGATCATGAGGACTAGACCGGTCAGCTTCATGGTTGTTAATGGAGGAGAGATGTTTACACTTTAGTACTGTTACAACAAATATTACTGCTTAAATACATTTACAGTTTTTATATATTACGATTGTACGGAAATTCCCGAAACCTGTCATGTTGAAGTAATTCAAGTATCATCATATCAGCCGTTAACAATCCACTGTTGAGGATAGACCTCCCCTTGGGGGGGTTTTGACAGCAAATACCATGTTTAGCAGGAGGGTTGACTACCACAATTAGGTTTTGATGATATTTTTAAAGGGCACTGCTGCCCATGCCACGACCCTCAAATTCCTTTAGTCACTTCTTACGACACTCACGGGAAAGAAAGTGCAAGTATGCTAATAATTATTTTTAATGTAAAAATTTGTTAAAATATTTGATTTTTTCTATATAACTTAGCATGGTTATCTAATAAAATCCTCCCCAATGACGTATATTTTCAATTACGTAATATTTACATAATAATTAACCTATTATTAAATTGTTTTCTAATTAACTATCTGATCCGTTAATCGTTGTTTTGCATCCTACCCTCATAAATTACGCCCTTTTTAGGATTCTATACCAAAAAGTTACAAAAGAACCCTTATGGTAACTTTATGCGTTTGTCTGTTACAGAACTATATCTCAGTAACCACTCTAATGCTACAAAATTAAAATTTGGACCAGTTTTACATATCATTCACATATTGTAATAGAAATTATTGAAAAAATATTTTTAATTTCTTTGCTAGAAGATCCAAAATGGATAATCAACATTTCGTTTATAATAAATAATTATGATCCAAAATAATTTATTTTTATCTAAAGAAAACAAAACTTTTTAGAGACTTCTTTTGTACGGTACCCTCGGCGTGTGAGTTCAACTCATCGACTTTCACAACTTTCTTATCGAAATAACAACTATCCTATCTCTCAAATTGAAGTCAACGATAGGTACGATTCATTTACAAAATTTCATTAAGATCGATGGACCAGTTTCGGAGATTAGCGTGAATTAATATTGACACGAGATTTTTATATATTTTTTTTAATATTTCTGTAACATTTTACAACTATTGCCAAATATTTTACCTAATCAAAAATAAATATAAATTTTACTGTTTTTATTAAAAATCAAAAATTTTATTCGAGTTATCAATAGGTATTTCACTCCATAACCATTCCGCAGAGTGCGAATTATTTTATGACGCATCCGTAGTTTATTTAATTACCAACATAACATCTGGAGCGAGGAAATACGGTATTTCTTAGTATTTGTTTACAAATTCTTTTCCCCAAAGACAGAATTGCGAGGTGATTGAATCTGCGGTTGGTAATGCGGCTGGTTTTTTTATTACCTACATAAATACATAGGTAGGAAAGATTGTTAGCAACTGGTACTAGGAGCTTTCTTGCTAGCAATATTTTTTTATAAAACAGGGAAAACAAGCATGCGGCTTACCTAATGGTAAATGACTACCGCCGCCCATGAGAATCGCAACACTAGAGGCATTGCCGATGTGTTGCCGGCTTATAATACCCTATCAGGTCAACATCTACGCGTTTAATTCTTGATGATTGGTGAAAACATTACGATGCGATGACTGACCTACTTACATTGATAGCTATCATCCCTTACTGGTTCCGTGCCAACATTTACCGGTAATGCATGTGGGTTACCATTCAATTATCGTCCATTAAAAAAATAATAGCATAAATTTTACGTAGATAGATAGATACTCTTTATTGTTTCCTCCAAAAGATTACAATAGAAAACTTATTATAAATAAAAACAATTACAAGAAATAATCACAATGAGAAAACAATGGGCGTCCTTATCACTAAAAGCGATCTTTTCCAGGCAACCTTTGGATGAAGAGGAGTAATTGTTACGTACATTTATATTGACGACTAGATATGTTTGTCTTAATCTGAGAATTTTCTAGGTTATAAAAGTCTGATTCCCATTTATCTAAAACCTATTGTAGCTCCAATTTTTGCTTAACTTGAGTCTATATCTGGCGTCCTATGATATACTCAGAGCTATTTATATCTTTTTACTTATTATTATGTGAACTTACATTAAGTGTAGACTTTAGTTCTAATTGACATAACTAACATAACTAATAACACACGAGTATACACATCTTGTCAAAATCTAGTATCAATTTATTGCTTTTTATTCCTAAATCAAATTAATTCCAATAACCGTAAATCACCTGATAATACTACTAATATTATAAATGAGAATGAGTGTAAAGATTTTATTAAGATATTATTATGTGGTGTTATTCTACAGCAGTAATTATTATTACAATACAATGATACCATATATAATAATGAGATATGGATTTTTTTTACAACACAGGGGGCAAACGAGCATGCGGCTCACCTGATGGTAAGATGAGATGAGAGCCGCCCATGATCACCCACAACACCAGCGGCATTGCAGGTGTGCTGCTGGCCTTTTAAAAAGAATATGCTCTTTTCTTGAAGGTTATGTTGTCGTATCGGTTCGGAAATACTGCTGCTGGAGGTTGATTCCAAAGAGTGGTTGTGCGTGGGAGAAAGTGCCTTGAAAAACGCACGGTGGAGGACCGCCACTCGTCCAGATGGATATTATATTAGGTAAACAATAATAGAATTCTAATAAATACATACTTTATTTAAAAAAATCATACGGTATGTTTTTATAAGCGACTTCATAAAGGAAGAAGTGAATTCATCTCAACTTTTATGTTTGTATTGCATACGCAATATCTTTCCCAATTTTGAAATATTTTTTGATACATAATTCTTTTTATAACCATTAGGGTTTTCTTCTGTATTCGTATCACTTCATACTATATTTTGTTACAATTAAAAAAGCAGTTTTTTTTTTTTACTAACAAAATAACAGCCCAAATGCAAAAGTGGTATGTATACCTATACACAAAATTTTAATAATTATTTTTGTAGCTGATAGGATTTCTCTCCCGTGTTGGCTCCGCATGTAAAAAAACTGCGAAAAAATAGCAAACAATGGTAACCGTCACCTATATCAATATCCATGAACGGCATCATAATCATCGATTCATCGCTGAATTCCCTCTGACCGCTCCTAGAGTTTTACAATCCAAGTAGAATATCGAGGTTCAAAAGGGACGCCGCTTAATGTAATGTATATTTCCGATTCGTTATCAATCAGGCAAGCTACCGGGCGCTCTTAACCGTTTGCTCTGTGTTACCTCAATAAAAGATAATAACCTCTTTTTGTCATCAGGGACAGGGCACGGTCAACAAAATTGCCCAGGAGCGCCAGGTACATTAAGGTCTAAAAGGTTATGTCTTTTCACTCAGTAAGTTCACTTCTTTATACATATTTCAAACCGAAATATGGGATCAAACAAGAATAACCATGCAAATTAAACTTATATACAAAATCTTTTAGAATATTAGATAAGCATAAGATATATTTTTCAGTTTAATATTCCAATCATGGATTGTTGTATAGTTTTATTAAGACCAGTACGATGACAAGATACACTTAATCTATGAATTTTTACATATAAGTGGCACTTTGCCAACGATACCAGATATATCGTGGTGATAGCAATCGACAAGCAGCTAATATTTAAAAAAAATCAGTAGACATTCGGCGTCTGTTGAAAACTCATTTCGAATTTTCCTTCTTCTGCACTAATTAGTAGGACTACTGTAATAAATAAATAGTCTTACTAAGTACCTATGGAGCCTTAGTGGTCGCCTCTTAACATATATTAGTATTAACATTAAAAAAATGTTTTGATAATGTATAAAATATTTATTTAATTTATTACAATATATGAAAAAATATGGTTTATAAAAATAATTTGGTTTAGGTTTAATAAATTAATTATGTCAAGATATATCACAGCCATGACAATACTATCTAATAATAGCTTATTTTTATAAGAAATTACTGCCTGTTCTTGACGTGGCTGTAAACCTCGTGCGCTGTGCCTGCGGCACCTATCACACCCAGACCCTTTTTCTGAAACAAGGAAGTACATGTTAACGCAATATCGTAATAAAACACGTACCTTAAAAAACAAAGAGAGCGATATAAGTCGAAAAATTGGCAATGTCACTTGACTCCAAATACCAAGAAATAAGGAAGAAAAGTACTGATGTGGCGACCTCATATAGGCAACGTCCTGTAATGCAACCCTACTTTACAAGAATCTTAAACAAATTAAAAAAATTAATAAAGTTTAGTTAACTCTCATAAAAATAAATTCATTTCATTAATTGTAAAAAAAAATTAACTTACGATAATTTTGCCACCTTTCTTGATGGCGCCAATAGGCACCTTAGGGTCGGCTTGACCAGCGCCGACAAACAACGCGAGCACCGCCATGATCATGAGAAAGAGGCCGGTCAATTTCATGGTTGGAAGTGAAAAGTAACTTATCAACTGAGACTGAGAATGACTGCGACTGTACACAGTGGTGCTGTCACAACGAATATGCTGTGTAAATGAACAGAACTGTTTAAATACGAATTTTTATTTTCCTGTTTCACTGTATTAGTATTGTCTATTCAATCGGTTTTCCCAAGTAGTAACGTGTTGAACGGAGCTTTTGTAGCTTTGCACAAATACTGATTGATTTTTCTTGACATAAACCTTTACCGAGAAAACCGTCTCCAAAAATTTGAATCCCGATCAGATTGTAGCTGTATTTACAAGAAATCTACTACTGAACAACGTTTTTCAATAAGTACTCTATAAAGTTGTCGCTTATAGAGTAGAAAAACTGATCTTTGTAGATACGAGATCATGTGTGAAGTGGCACCTCTAAAATATTAGATACCGATGTGAACAAAATTCGTCAGACTTTAGGGCTACACAAAAATTACACTAAATAACTAACCTTATTACTAATCCCTTGATCTTTTCTTTTTGCTTCCGCACTACAAAAAGTCGCTCGTTATATCTTTTATTCTTGTATCTTTTATTCATCACGATGAGCTAACTGACCTACTTTTATACTCACATATCTTCTCTCACCTGACAGACAGTGCCAACTATCAGTTATAGA